TTCTATAGTATAATTATATTTAGTCTTCATTTCATTTCTAATATTATTTATGTCCTATCCCCCACCCCTGACCTTGTGTCACTGATTAATTTTGCAGATGTTTATGTGTTTAGTCTTTCAAAAAAATCTTTTACTCTGTTAATCTTCTCTACTATTCCTATATATTCCATTTCATTTGTTTTCATAATATTTTGTATTATTTCTTCCCTTTATTTTGATTTACTCTGCTCTTCTATTTACACCTTTTCAGTTGAATGTTTAATTCACTAAAAATCAGTCTTCTTTCATTTCTAATATATGCATTTGTGAATCTATAAATATCTTTCTGTGTACCTCTTTAATTGTATCCCATAAGGTTTAAAATAAAGTATCTATTTCTATCGTCACTTCTTTTTGACTCAAGAATTATTCAGAAATATGATCTTGAGTTTCCAAATGCATGGAGTTTTTGATGTCTATCGGTTTGGGGTCTCCTAATTCTTTTTCTCAGTGGTAGGGTTTTCTATGTATATATATATCTTCTGTTAGTGGAGTTCAAGTTCTATATATGTCCATTTGATCAAGCTAATCAGTTATGTTATTTAAATCTCCTTTATCCTTTCTAATTTTTTTAGTTTACTTGATTTATTAGTGTCTGAGAGAGATATTTTAAAACTCCTTGATTATTATTACCCATGTTCTCAATACCTCAAGGTGATTCTGCCAATTTTTACTTCATATATTTTTAAATTATTCTACTAGGTAATGTAAATTCAAGTTTAACATATCTGCCTGGTGAATTGTTATTGATCATGAAATAATAACTGCATTTGTAATACTTTTTAAAGCACATTTTGTCTGATATTAATATAGTGTCACCAGCTTTCTTTCGAAAGGTATTTGCATGGTATATTATATCAATTTCCATCCATTTTTTTCAATCTTCCCATGGCGTCATCCTCAATAAGTGCGTCCCTTGTAAACAGTTCGTAAAAAGAATATAGCTGTTTTCCCTTCCCCATTCAACTTAAGAATCTTTGTCTATTCACAGATAAAATGAATCGTTTTTATATTTAATATGATTCCTGGTATATTTAGCCTATTTCAAACATCATATTTATCTACGATTTCCCAAAAGTCACGAATCATCTAAATTTACCAATACTGCACAACACAGCAAGCATTGCTGTATCTAGCTTAGACTCATAATCTAACTATTCTCAATAAGTCATTTAAACACATTAACAAACTATATTCTTTTAAAGATATAAGGTAATAAATCTTTAAATAAATGACATGCACACACACACACACACAAAATCCCAAATGGGGTGGCTAATCCATGATTCTATTTCTTTATCTATAGCATGGACCTAAAAAGATGCCATTTGTCATCTACCTCTGTTGTTTCTGTTCTTCCTTCTCTCCATTATTTCTTTATTCATTTCTACTTGACGCAGCTCTCATTCTGCCTCTTCCTTTCATACATATCTCTTCTCTGTCCCAGACTCTCATCGTATTTTGCCTAGATAACTGCATTAATATTTTTTCTCTTCATGATTTCATTTTATTACTTTCTACTCTAATTCACCTTCCAGTTAAATGAGAGCCTACAAATTTGAACTTTACCCTGGAGGTCACTGTCTCTCAAACTGAAATCCAAAGACATAGTCTCATAGCTCCAAACATTCTGTGAGAATTTTTTTTTTAATTTGTGGCTTTATCCAATTAACAGTCTAGAGAATCTAAATGACAACCTGATAATTGAGCTGTGTTTTCCAATAGCAGTGCCTGAGTTTGTCTTTCTTTCCCCCATCAATTCTGTTCTGTTCTCAGTGTAACTGGCACCAAACGATCACCTAAAGTGACAGCTTTTAACTTTCAATGTGTCAGTAAGCACATCTGGCTGTTAGGTTGGCATGTACTAATGCTAAAATTGTCCCACATCTGCCATTATGCTCTTCAGTGATGATGATTTGCAATTGAAAGATACTGTCATCTAATAAAGCTTTAATTTATTAAGATATTTAATTAATGGAGACTTTGATATGACATCATAAAAACTCATAGTGTGGTAGAGTAATGGTCTATTTTAATTGCTATGGGCTAATGAGAAAAGAACAAAGGCAAAATTAATATGTAAATTATGTGTTTACATCAAATGAAAGCCAAATGATATTATGGGACAATGTACAAAAACAGGTTTCCCAATCTTTCAAATAGAGAACAATGGTGAGAGAAATGAGTTATCATATGGCTCAGGGTGGTAAAGGCATGCCAAATTAAAAGAGCCTTTGTCGCGGTAGTCAGTATACTTTATTTATTCATTACTCATTTGTCAAAAATGTGCTAAATACTTAATCAATAAGTCGTAAGTATTAAACACTTTTCTAGGCACTGAGTATATGACAGCAAACAGGACAAGCAAAATCCTAACCTTCATGGAAGTTATAGTCAGGCAATAAACATATGAACACAAATTTATAATATGATGTCAGATAGTGATTAGTCCTGTGAAGAAAAATAAAGCAGGGAAAGGAGATAATGATATGGTAGAGGAAAGCTATTATAGGAAGGGTGGTCAAGGAAGGATTCTTTGAGATGACATTTGAGGAGAGACCTGAGCATGATGAAGAGGTAAGGCATAGAAGTATCTAAGGGAAAAGACTTCCAGACAGTCACAACAGCAAATACACAGAGATGTTGAGGTGGGAATAAGCCTGACACATATAAATAACAGCAAGAAAATCAGTGAGACCACACCACAGGGAGAAGGCAGGAGAGTGGTTTGAGATGAGGTGAGAAAAAAAAGCATAAGCCAAATCTTGAAGGGCTTTGAGGCTATAGCAAAGACTGGATGTAATTCTGAGGAAGATGGGGAGCTGCTGTGGGGTTTTATATAGTCCATGCAGAATACCAGAAAGGGAGATGAGAATGGTGGATATGGAAACAGGTAGGACTGGTAGATTTGCTGGAGGAGATGAGGTAGTTTGCTCTTATTGTTTCTATTTCCCCAATGAAATAAGAAGTGAGGGAATCAGAAGAGTGAGAGAACTGGGAATGAGAGTTGAAGATTTGAGGTAAAGGGGAAGGTGTAAAATAGTTGTCTCAGAAAGTAGAAATATTAGGTCAATGAAGTAGGATTGCCAAAAAGAGCAGAGAATCCACTTGAAACTTGAGGACAAAAATTTAAAGTAAGGCAGTTAAACATAGTTTTGTGTTCTCCATTCATCCATATTCTGGCCCAAGGTAGACAGAAAGCTCAGGGAGGGTCAGAGTTTTGCCAGATGAGGATGGCAGGGAGAGGATGAGCAAAGGAGAGACTAACTATAGCAACTAAACTGAGTAAAGAGAGAAGTGAGGGCATGAGAGGGATGATGAATAGTGCAAAAAAAAGCAGTAAGTCAATAGACAGGAGGCCCCAAGGAATCAAAGAACTGTTGGAGTAGGAATGCTAGCATCACATGAGATGGCATCCCTGGAAAGGCAAGAGGTACTGGTCAGAGAGAAATGCTTTGAAACACAACTTGAAGGTTAGTGCAGTGTTTTCTAACAAGGTCACTATGGCATTTGGGATGAAATGACTCTTCATCGTGTAGAACTGTCTCATGTACTGAAAGACATTTAGAATCCTTAACTCCTGCCCTCTAAACACCAGCAGCATTCCTTATATTTGCAGATAACCCCTAAGAGAGTGGTACTTTCTAGGTTGAGTGCCACTGGTCTGAGGTATGGCTCTGGGGTGTGACCATGAGGTAGAGAAAGACACGTTTCTAAGTGAGAAACTCGAAGGACTGAGAGGACAGGTATAAGTATTCTATGTGGGTGTTTTTACCAAGAATGATGGCAGCTGAGTGATGGGCATTAGAAAATGTGCTAGGAGGTAAAAATCTTCAATACGTGCACAGGGAGTAGGCAGCGGCATAGTCTGATGGTATGTGCTTTAAAAGTGCTTCGGTGGATGATGAGAAAAGAATTTGTTGTGAAGTGACGATGAGGATGAAAGACGATACTGACTCCACTCCAGACACTGAGAAAAAACAGTTACCGCCTGAGAGGGTGACAAGGAGGCAATAACAGCCAGGAATATCAGAGCAGCACTGTCCGACAGAACTTTCTATGATAATGGAATATTGTACATCTACACTGTCCACTAAGATAGCCAATAGCCACATGGGCCTATCGAGACTTTGAAATGAGGAACTGAATTTTCACTTTGTTTAATTTTAATTAAGTGTAAACAGTCATATGTGGCTAGTAGTTACCATATTGTATGGTGCAGAAGAGTAAACAGAGCATTCTGAAATGAGTGTGAAGACACAGAAAATCCTTCTTAATCTTTGAATCTTAAGGAAAAGGGGTAAGCGTAGGTGCATGTCTCAGTAAGTTTGTGGATCTGGAACAGGAAGGTGAGAGAAGTTATGCTCACATTTTCAATAAAGATTCCAAAAATTCATCCTAATTTATTTCCGCCTCTTCCCACACCAACTTCTATGCCATATTGTTATGGAAGATACTTAAAAAACTTCCTTCAAAAGTATAAAATGTCACCATGTAAGAATTATTCCTTCTCATAAGAAGCAACTTGTGTTAACATATTATGACTATTGCCTGTTTTTCTGAGACCTAAGTGTCCCTTCCCCAAAGATTGGCTTTCTATCTCTATCAAAGGAAGGAAAACTGTTAACTCCTGAACATTCCTCTTTAAAAGATGCTGTTGTTTAGAAATCATGTTTCTTGTTTATTTGTGTGTGTTTCTATAAAGGAATATAAACAAATTTGTTCTTTGTTATGAAAAATGAGGTAAAAGTATTTTGATTGGCTGCCTATCATTTGTGCCTTAACAAAAATTTTAAAAAGGATCACTTCCCCTCAGGTCCATCCACACCACCACTCACACAGACTTCCAGAACCACCTCATGGCCTTAGAAGCTTGGCTGCAAACTTACCAGCAACAGCTCTGTCAATCTGACCTCATCAACCAAATAAGCAATGCCAGCGTGGGGCCTAGTATCACTCACCCAGTGGAAGATTTCCGGGTTCAGGCAAGGGACAGGCAGACTGCTGGTAATATCTGGATATTGCTTGACACTATATTTGGGAATAAAGGAACAGTGAAAAACTTTTGATTAGTTTCTGTTTCTTAAGTGTCCCCAATTTCCATTTAATTGCAATCAAAATATCCAAATATTCTTTGTCCCCAGAGAGGGGACACAGTCCCTAGTTTAACAGACCATAAAATACATAATTAAGAAACAACCCCTGTGGGGCTAATCAGTATAGCACTATAACTGGCCTAGTGGACAAAGGCCAGTTTCTCCTGGTCCTAAGGCAGGATGTTTCTCTTAAATGTTGAGGGAGAATGGACTTTTCCATCCCAAAATTTGCCCTTGCGGGGATATTGATTATTTTAAGCTGGTTATTTTTAAGAAAATTCAAGAAGATCCTTTTACTTTCCTCTCCCTACCTAAAGAAATTTAGATATGAAAACCTGCTTAAAGGGACTATCACCTTAGCATAATATGAACTAAGTGTGGCAGACAGGGAGTAACTAGCAAAATCAGTTTGTTAGACTCCCTTCTGTGTCCCACTGTTTCTGGGTAGCCTGGCAAGAATTTGTTTATCAAATGTTTGCTCCTTCTCATCTACCTGTGAATAGCCTACTATCCCTTTGAAGTCCAAACCACAGCCCCCACTCCTTCCTCCTTAGCTCAAGATGGCATATAAGCTTCATCTACCCAATTTGTCTTTGGGCAACATAATTTTATGGTACCTCCATCCATACATATGTGACAAATTTGGTCATTTTCTTCTGTTAATCTGTCTCATGTTAATTTGATTATTAGACCAGCCAAAACTTAGGAGAGTAGAAGAAAAATTATTTTCCTGCCCCATGGTGTCCTCACCTAGATCAGATGCTAGGACATGTCTATTCTGGCCTCCATATCTGGTAGGCTGATTTAGCCCTAAGGGGGCCTTCTATATTAACCATGCTTCTGAACTCTAGGAAATAGCCAGTCAGGCAGAGAGATCAAGAACTGAAGAGCTTGTAGATATTCACTATGTTGGTGAGTTGAATTCTATCAGATGCCCAGCCATGGACCCACTTTAGGTCCAAGATACAGATATAGCTTCCACTATAATGCATTCCACAGTTTCTAGTATTAGACCCAGGGTTGAACTAAGAGGCTACTATTGCCTTCTCCTTTGGGTTCTCCATGATGGGACTCTGATCAACATGAAAGCCAAAAAGTATCCTAGTGCTAGACTACTAATACCAATTAACTATTCTATTCTACGGCCACTGCCAAAAACAGTCATCATGTAACTTAATTTCATTGGGAGCAAGAAGACTCAAAGGAGACTAGATGAATGGAATGCTTAAAGTTCATCTCAGCTACTGAGGAGGAAACTTATAAGTCACAATAATGAGAAGCAAAACATAACTGAATTGTGAATCTCCACTGGCTCTCTCTGTCCACAAGCCCCCTCTGGTGGAGGAACTAATAGGTAATGAAATAGCTATACTAACAAAAAAAAAAAAATTAAAACAAGTGCCTGGTATATGATAGGTATTCACGATTATCAAATGACTGCATGCATGAATGTGTGAATGTGTGGAAGAAAGAAGAGAGGGAGAGGGGAAGGAAGGAAGGAAGGAAGGAAGGAAGGAAAGGAGGGAGGGAGGGAGGGAGGGAGGGAGGGAATGGGAGAAAGAAAAAGGCAATCTACAAGAAAACAATAAGCCCCTGTAGATTGAGAGTCAAATGTAGTGATTAGCAAATATGAGCTGCAACCATAAAACCACTTACAGATGAAGCAGTATGATGAATGATTTACCAAAAGGTCAACAGTGCTCTTTTATCTTCACCACCCATCAGTTTCCATTGCCCTCAATTTGTCTGGCACATAACAGAAAGCAGACTATAAAATATCCACCATAAAAATTAACCTTATTTTGCAACATTAAAAAAAAAGAAACACATAGTGGGATATAGTTTAAGCATATGGGCCAGCTGCTCAATTAGAATTCCTCATATATATATTTGAAAAAGCATTGACATTTAAAACCCTATTATAAGAGGTAATGTACTCAGCAAGTATCAGAACTCTGTGCCCTATGCTTGCCTTTGCTATTCCACTGTTAGTTCTCAAACAAGGGAAGGCCCCATTAATCCCCTCCCAAAGACTACAGTAATGATGGCAGGCGTGGGGCCGGTGTCAGCATTTTCCCTTTTACTTCCCTAGAAGCCAAACCTCTGCAACCTCTGCTTTTAGCTGGTGTGGATGCTAGGCTTTAAGCCTCAACATGCCTGCGATACATTCTGACAGATGAGCTGTGAGATGAACTATCTTCACACTTTCATTTGACAACCTTTGTGTAAAAAGAAACACAATGCCAGATGAAAATATATTTTCAGGCAGAAGGAATTCTGAAAATTAACATATCTGCAAACTGCCAGATCACCTTAACCAGACCTATAAAAGACATGAAGTCATTTCAAACTGATTAAATTGATTCCATCAGAAAATAACTCCTCCCTATCCTGTTTCTGAATTTATCAATTGCTTCTCTGATTTTGCAAAATCAATAAGCTATTTTGCATCTTTTATGTATAATCAAAGTTATCTGAAATATGATAGAATTCCTTTCTCAAGACTCTGTTTAAAGAGAGTACCTAAATATCTGGTTATCTATTTATATCATTGTTACCGGCAGAAATTTTTTAAAGGGAGTCAAAAAAAAAGAAAGAAAAAGGGTCAAGGTAGTTCTGAAAAAGATATAGCTACAAGGATGTACACAAGTGCACTAGTTATGAGAATAAAATTTTAAAATCCTAAATTTCAAACAAAAGAAATTTTGTTTGAAATTTTGTTTTTAAAAAAAAAGTTGTTCAAATTAATTACATATAGCTGTAAAGTGGAATACTATGTAGACATTAAAAATTATGTAGCGGAATATATAACAACATGAAAAAAATCATGGTATTATTTAGAGGTAAAAACACATTGCAAAAACAGTAGGTATAGGATTATCACATTTATCGACAATGGTTATATTTGGATAATAAGATTGAAAGTTTAGAAAACATTGATTGGTCAATCCAGCCTCCATTCACAACCCCGTCTCTCCAGCACTCTTACAACTAGGGATAAATTCTATACAACGAAACATAAGCAGAAGTCTTCTGGGTGGCAAAGTTTTGTCTTGATTAAAAGGGGCAAATTGGACTAACAGGCCCCGTTTTGTGCTATCTATACCACAATGAATCAACTCATTGATCCATGACCACAGACTATAATCTCAGCCAACCACGATAGTGGGGAAAAGAAGACAAGACCTTGCAATCGAATGGTAGATACCACAAGGAACAATTACAACTTGACCTATTTATTCACCTTTTAGCCATATGTTTTGGTGTTCATGTGGACATAATCAAAGGATAGTCCCTGGGGGCCTATGGAGTTTTACCAAAATGAAGTAAGGCTTTGGGTTGTGTACAAAATAATAAGTATCATTCCAAGAACAAGGCATTTGCCTCTAAATCACCAAAACACAAGGTAGTCATCTTGAAAGGTAAAAGTCCACTCTCAATACACCTTGATAATAATAAATATAGGCATGTTTCTCAGCTATCTAGGGCCCAAATAAGTAAAGGATAATATAAATAAGTGCCAAAAATCAATACTGCCTGAATTTACACACATCTCACATACCTCTATTAGAACAGCTATCATTTTATACTGTGGTAATAATTTGCATATCTGTCTTTCTGTTAGACTATAAACTCCCTAAAGACAAGGACTGTTTCCTTTCATTAATGCTAAGGATACTGAAGCCTTCTTCCTTCGAAGGATTCTGAACCAACTTAGATTCCAACTATAAATGCCTATAAAACAGGACAGCAATTTCGACTCTAAGTCCCTCTTGATTCTAAGCCATCCTACTTAAAAAAAAAAAAAAAGTCAATAACTTTTTACCATTTCCAAAATATTCTGAAGGGAGGGAAAAATCACACATTAAATTCTGTCAAGTAACATTTACTTCCTCAAGCCCTGACTAATCAGAAATGACTGAACTTGGCAGCTCCTTTTATCACTTGGTCTATAAGCTAAATTCAGCTCCTATTGGAAAATGCCAACATCCCTTCCCATCTTCTACAACAGCTCATCTTGTCAGTCACTCTAGCGGATGGCAATCTGGTGTGACCACTCCCCATCAGATCAAGTAGAAATCATAAGCCAAACTTACAGGATCCAAGTAGCCATATTCCAGAGGAACAGTGGTAAAGTTAAAAGAGATTAGAAGAGTGCTAGATTTATTAGTATTGATTCCCTGCTGACAATTTCATGGAAAGATATCCACTGCAGTTATATAAAGAGCATCTGGCTCATTTTCAAATTTTTTGCATTCAAGTTCTTTAAAATATCAACTAAGAAGGATAAGAAAAGAGAAATTGGTGGATGAGGCCCAAAGGTTTTCTACAGAATAAGAAGCCTTCATCACTATACACTAATTATGAAATCAGCTCCCACAGAGTTTATTTATTTATTATAATATATAATAAATAAATATATTATGGGGTTACCACTGCCATTCTGGTAACCCAGAGAAGAAACCAACATATAACGACTAAAGCCACATTTCACAATAGACTCTAAAGGACATATGATGTCATTTGCTAAAATGACTCAATCCAAATGGAAAGCATCCTGACATATGCATAATTGATTGACCTTTGCTATGTTTTTCAGGTTATTTATATACTATCATATGCATGAATGTATATCAGTGGTATTTACACTTGGCAGCTACTTTTGAGAACACATTATTCAATTGGGATTTGAAGCTTTTTATGACCATTTCCTGACCAAATATTCATAGATGAAGGACAAGAAAAGATATTATCTTAAAATAACATTTAATAGGCCCTGGAAAGTCAACAGAAGCTTTGTTACTCTAATTGTAGTGGACGAGATGTATCTATAGAAACCTGAGTTCAAAACCCTGAAACTGAGGCTACTAAAGGCATTTTATCTATTTTCCAGTTTGGGGCTCAATAATGATATTAAAATATGCCTTACCAAAG